TCTGGAGGAAGAAGAGGAAGAGGAAGGAGCAGCAGCAGCATCCCGGTGGGCGAGGGCGCGTCCTTGAGGGGTTTCTCTCTCTCTCTCTCTCTCGCTCTTGGAGGGGCTTCGGATTGAGCCAAAGGACCAAACCAGAGGAAAGGCAGTAAACAACAAACCAGACTGTTGGGGAAGGCGCGGAAATTTAAAAATGTTTGGACAGGAAGAGATGGGGGAAAAAGAAACCGTAAAGGGGAGGGACGGCGCGTAACGGGGACGGAGCGGGGAAAGAAGAAACCTAACGGTTTTGAAGCCGCTGCCTCTCCTTTTCCCTCCCCTTTGGACCCTTGGACTCCTTCCTGGCCTCCTCTCCCTCTTTCTCCTCCTCGATCTGGGCTTGAACGCAAAGGAGGAATCGTTTGGGCATTTTTCGGGGCCAGATTTGCGCCTTGGCTTCCAAGGAAGAAAAAGCCGTTTCTGGGGATGGAAAACCACCCCAGTGGAGCCAGAGGACGGGAAACTACGCAGCCAGAGAACAGGAGTGGATGGAGGAGGCTGGAAAGGAGGCGAGCTGGGGGTCTTTTCCAACGCCACCAACTTCTGCCTGGCCGGGTCAGCGCCTCGCCCTCTTTCGGATGCGCTAAAGCAGTGGTTCTCAAGCTGGGGTCCCCAGATGTTTTTGGCCTACAACTCCCAGAAATCCCAGCCAGTTTACCAGCTCTGAGGATTTCTGGGAGTTGAAGGCCAAAAACATCTGGGTTCCCCAGGTTGAGAACCACTGCGCTAAAGGGATGGAGAAAGGCGCCCCCAAATTTGGCACCAGGAGCTCTGTCTTGGAACCCCATTCCCTTTTCTCCAGCTTGTCAGGAACCTTCTGTATTGGGTTGTTGTAGGTTTTTCGGGCTATATGGCCATGTTCTAGAAGCATTCCCTCCTGACGTTTCGCCTGCATCTATGGCAGGCATCCTCAGAGGTTGTGAAGTGTTGAAAACTAGGAAAATGGGATTTATAGATCTGTGGAATTATGGTTTATATATCTGTGGAAAGTCAAGGGTGAGGAAAGAACTTTTGTCTGTTTGAGGCAAGTGTGGATGCTTCAATTGGCCACCTTGATTAGCACTGAATGGCCTTGCAGCTTCAAAGCCTGGCGGGTTGCTGCCTGAGAGGAAGCAGACAAGAGTTCTTTCTCCCACCCTTGACTTTCCACAGATATATAAACCCCATTTGCCTAGTTTCCAACAGACCTCACAACCTCTGAGGATGCCTGCCATAGATGCAGGCGAAACGTCAGGAGAGAATGCTTCTAGAACATGGCCATATAGCCCGAAAAACCTACAACAACCCAGGGCCCTTCCACACAGCCTTTTATTTCTGAGATAAAGGGCTGTGTGGAAGGGCCCTAGGTTGTTGTGGTTCATCAAGACAGAAAATCGCATATTATCTGAGTGTGGACACAGATAACCCAGTTCAAAGCAGGTATTGTGGGATTTTCTGCCTTGATATTATGGGATATAGGGCTGCGTGGACCCCCAGTGATTCCGGTCACGAAAGCCTTCGACAATACCTTCTGGACTTCGTGCAGGAGGTTGTTGTTCACCTGGGCCCAAACCCCATGGATATGGAGCATGCGCATGATAGGCTCCTTGTTTCCCCAACATATTAAGCCAACATATCTCTTTTGATGTACCTATATCTTATTTTGAAGCGAGTGGCGTTGGCATACGCGGAAAACGGCTGCCAATCCAGTCAGCTTCACCAAGCCCTTTGACGCAGCTGATTCTATACTGACCATATAATACAAGCAGCCGAGGGAGGGGGGAGGAAAGGGCCCGAGGCCAGGCCCGTAGCCAGAATTTTGTTTCGGGGGGGGGGGGGGGGGGATTTTGTTTCGGGGGGGGGGGACTGAGTCTGAGTGAAAGAGGGTCTACCCTAGCAAACCTTTTGTATCGTTACCCCAATACCCCCATGCATATGGGATATATTGAGCATGGTGATCAGATCATGATATGAATAAACATAACAGTTTAAATAATGTACCAGTAAGGACTTCTCGCGGACCACCCTGAGAATTTGGGGGGGGGGGCTGAAGCCCCTCAAGCCCCCCTCCCCTGGCTGGTGGGAGATGAAGTCCAAAACACCTGGAGGGAGGGCCCAAGTTTGCCCAGGCCTGATCTAGACCCATATAATGCAGTTCAATGCAGTTCAGATATCCAAACAACCCTTAACCCTTGTGTGCCAGAACCATATGCAGGGCTGACATCTACTACTCTCCATTTTTGAGAATGGCTGTCTCACTATACCCTGAACATTAAATATCCAGTAGCAGCATAACTCTTTTTCCTCTTCCAGGTAATATTTAAGAGGAGCAACATAAATATTATTTGATAATTAATATTTATTAATATTTAATATTTATAATATTTAATATTGCCGTCTTCCAGGTAATATTTAAGGGGAGTAACATTATTATTATTTGATTTTAAGTTGGTACCGTCTTGATAAGGTTTGGAAATTAAAAAATAGTTTTAAGAAACTTTTAAGAAATGAATGTTCCTGTTCTTTTAGCCTTGCACATGGGAAACCAGAAGTCTAATTTCTGAAACCACACTGAGTTCACACCGTTTCTTCTCTGTTCACAGATCCAAAGGATTGGGTTATCTTTTGTTTTGCTTTCTATTATTAGCGTATTATTTCTATTATTTATTATAATAGTAATATAATATAATATAATATATTATTGTATTGTATTATTATTTCTTCTGTGTTCACAGATCCAAAGGACTGGGTTGTCTTTTGTTTTGCTTTCTATTATTAGCGTATTATTTATATTATTTATTTTAATATTATATTATATTATTATATCCTATTATTATATTATTATTATATTATTTCTATTACTAGCCTATTAGCCATCTCCAACCCTCTCAACTGCTAAAACTTCTCAGTTTTCAAAGCCACTTCAGAACAGTCCTAGTCTAATGCATTGTCGAAGGCTTTCATGGTTGGAATCACTGGGTTGTTGTAGGTTTTTCGGGCTATATGGCCATGCTCTAGAAGCATTCTCTCCTGACGTTTCGCCTGCATCTATTGCAAGTATCCTCAGAGGTAGTGAGCTCAGCCTCTGAGGATGGTTGCCATAGATGCAGGCGAAACGTCAGGAGAGAATGCTTCTAGAAGATGGCCATATAGCCCGAAAAAAAACCCTACAACAACCCAGTCCTAGTCTAGCCTTGTATAAAAGGGTTCAAGGATTCGGAGAGCTTGGCAAATATGAGGTGGATTCTAAAATCGGGACAGCAAATAAAGAACACTCAGGAAACGGGGGAACTCCAGACTAGAAACAATCAGGGTCAGCTAATACCTCCCAACAAAGGATTCCCCCGGCAGGAAGCAGCCAGGCTTTGAAGCTGCAAGGCTATTCAATGCTAATCAAGGTGGCCAATTGCAACATTCACACTTGCCTCGAGCAGACAAGAGTTCTTTCTCCCACCCTGGATATTCCACAGATATATAAACCTCACTTGCCTAGTTTTCAGCAGACCTCACAACCTCTGTCATAGATGTGGGCGAAACGTCAGGAGAGAATGCTTCTGGAACACGGTCATACAGCTCGGAAAACTCACAGCAACTTAATCAGGTGGATTGTTTGTTAAATTTGCTTTTTAAGATGCAGGGTTTGTTTTTTGCCAGGAAGGAAACCGTGAAGGAAGGGAGAGGAGTGGGTTACAGCCTGCCTTGCAGGAAAGGTCGTTGTTTTTTTTTATGAGCTGTTTTTGAATCGACCCTTTCGAAACTTCAGCTCAGCAAAGGATCGGCTGCGAAGTTGGTGCGGTTTTAGTCGGGAACAAAACTTCCCCTGTGATTCAGAGCCTCTCCTTTTAAACATGGGGAAGGGAGGGATGACACCTCGCCGTTTTCAGCCGGGTTTTGCAGGCAGTGAAAGAGATAATATAAGATGACATGTTTATCCCCTTTGAAGGTGAGGATTTCAAATTAAAAAGTGGGTTGCTGTGAGTTTTCCGGGCTGTATGGCCATGTTCCAGAAGCATTCTCTCCTGACGTTTCGCTCACATCTGTGGCAGGCATCTGCAGAGGTTGAGAGGTCTGTGTATTGTCGAAGGCTTTCATGGCTGGAATCACTGGGTTGTTGTAAGTTTTCCGGGCTATATGGCCATGTTCCAGAAGCGTTCTCTCCTGACCTTTCGCCTGCATCTATGGAAGGCATCCCCAGAGGCTGTGCAATCTATTGGAAACTAGGAATTATCAGTATTTTAAAAAACTTTAAAATCATATCAGTAAATAAAGAACAACACTACAAAACGGGAATTCCAAACAAGAATCAATCAGGGACAATCAACAAAGGATTCCCTCAGGCAGTAATAAGCCAGACCTTGAAGCTGCAAGGCCATTAAATGCTAATCAAGGTGGCCAATTGAAACATTCACACCTACCTCAAACAGACAGTTCTTTCACCCGCCCTGGGCACTCCACAGTTATAGAAACCCAATTTTCCTACAGACCTCCCAACCTCTGAGGATACCGGCCATAGATGTGGGTGAAACATCAGGAGGGAATGCTTCTGGAACATGGCCATACAGCCCTAAAAAACCCATAACAACCCATTGAGGGGTCTGTTGGAGACTGGGCAAGTGAGGTTTATATATCTGTGGAATAATGTCCATGGCGGAAGAAAGAATTCTTGTCTGCTTGAGACAAGTGTGAATTCTGCGGTTGGCCACCTTGGTTAGCATTTAATGGCCTTGCAGCTTCAAGGCCTGGCTTATTACTGCCTGGGAGAATCCTTTGTTGGAAGATGATTAGCTGGCCCTGATTTATTCTTGTCTGGAATTTCCCTTTTATTTTGTGTTGTTCTCACAGCAACCCATGAAAGCCAATTTCAACAAACTCCACCAGACTTTGTAATCTTCACATCCTTCATTGTGTGCCATCTTTCAAGCCACTTGCTTGCCACAAGCCCACTCCAATGCTTGTGAGCGGAAAATGAACATCAATAAGCTTCAGCTTTGCAACATAATGTTTTTAATCAGGAAAATGGTAGCAGGATGAGAGGTGACAACATTGGAAATACTGGATCAGAGTGACAGGCGCTGTAGGTGGTTTATTCCCCTGCAATTAGACAAATTGTTTTTTTAATATCTCTTTTTTTCTACTGGGAATCTTAAAAACCAAAACATCAGAAGGAAAACCATTTACTTTCACTAACCTCCCCCACCTTGTGATGGGAGGTTAGTGCCTTGACCCTGCAGAACAAGGTCCCAGTGACATTGTCATTTCCTGATACAAAATAATAAATGCTTCATTTGGAGTTTTTAAAAAATTGAAGTGTTCTCGGAGTAAATGCTAGTGGGAAGTCAAAGGGATCTAATCTTACTCACTCCGGTTCTCCAAATGGGGATGACTCATATACCGTATACTTTGTGATGACCCCCCCCCCCCCCAATATCTCAACATTTCTGAAAATAGGCATCACAGAAAAAGAGCTCTAGCAACAATTCAGTGAGAGATGAAAACCTGAATCTGCAACATGAACACACATTCAAATGCAGGCTGAGGCTGGATCTACACAGGCTTATAATGCTTTTCAAACTGCATTAGATGGCATGGATCTGCATAGCCATAGAATGCATATAATGCAGTTCAAACTGAATTATGTGGTGCCTTAGGCTCTCAAGGCCTGAATCATGGGTTGTAGTGAGTTTTCTGCATGGCAGTACATGTGTGCTGGATCTACAATGCCACATAATACTGGGTTGTTGTGAGTTATCCGGGCTCTATGGCCATGTTCCAGAAGCATTCTCTCCTGACATTTCACCTCATCTATGGAGGCATCCTCACAAGCCTCTGAGGATGCCTACCATAGATGCAGGTGAAATGTCAGGAGAGAATGCTTCTTGCACATGGCCATACAGCACGGATAACTCACAACAACCCAGCATTATGTGGCATTGTAGATCCAGGACACATGTACTGCCAAATAATGCAGTTTGAATTATATTATATCGTCAGTATATAGACCAAGCATGAGCAAACTTGGGCCCTCCAGGAATTTTGGACTTCAACTCCCACAATTCCTAACAGCCTCGGGTCCTTGTGGGAACTGTCATCCAAAACACCTGGAAGGCCCAAGTTTGCCCATGCCTTGTATCGACCCATATAATGCAGTTCAAAAAGCATTATATGGATTTACATTGACCCTATATAGCACTTTAAACTGTATTATATGGCATGGTAGCTCCAGCACATATCTAGACTGCCAAATAATGCAGTTTGAACTACATTCGTGAATACAGACTCACATAATACAGTTTATAGGCACATATAATGGGTTGTTGTGAGTTTTTCGGGCTTTATAGCCATGTTCCAGAAGCATTCTCTCCTGACGTTTCACCTGCATCTATGGCAGGCATCCTCAGAGGTTGTGAGGTCTGTTGGAAACTAGGAAAATTGGGATTATATATCTGTGGAATGTCCAGGGTGGGAATCCTCCCAAGAAAGGATTCCCCCAAGCGGTAAGAAGCCAGACCTTGAAACTGTGAGGCCATTAAATGCTAATCAAGGTGGCCAATTGCAACATTCACACCTACCTAAACAGACAAGAGTTTTCTTTCCTCCCATCCTGGACATTCCACAGATATATAAACTCCATTTTCCTAGTTTCCAGGAGACCTCACAACCTCTGAGGGAGGCTGCCATGGATATGCAGGCGAAATCTCAGGAGAGAATGGTCAGGAAAACTCACAACAACCCAGCGTTTACATCAAACTGGATTGTTTGGCAGTATAGACAGTTCTGTGCTAGATCTACAATGCAATATAATGCAATTGACCATAAACTGCATTATTTGGCAGTGCAGATCCAGCCACAGATACTTGTGTTCCTCCCCCAGCCTCCCACCTCTCCTCCCCATAGAGAAATACTCAAGAAATTGACTTCACCTTCAATACTGACAGGTTCACATGAAAGTTGCTTGGACTTCAACAGAACTTAATTCGGAATGAATACAGAGGCTTTAAGAGAGAAAGGAAACCACCATAATTAGAACACCATTCCCAGTAAACAGCTTCAGGGATGTCTTAACTTCTGGCACACTTTTGTTAGTGTCACACATCGTATTTTTCCACAAGTTCAGAAGTTTGGGGTTGTTTTTCTCTCCCCCCCCCCCCTTAACCCCTTTGGGGCACAAAGCCCTTTCACAGCATGGCACAATCCTTCATGCAGAGTTTCATATTATTTTAGCCTTGATTCGGCAGTTGTTCCTGGTTTTTTTTAAGGGGGTGTTGAGAGGGTGGGAATCACAGTAATTGTTTTGAAAAGAAAGACTTCAGCAAGCACAGAAGAAGCATAGAGGTATACCTTCTAGAACCCTCAAGATTTGGCTTGGAGATTCTGGGAATAAATCCAAAAAACAGAAAGAGTGCTGGTGCATCTACACAGGATAGGATTAAGGATACTACTGTAACTGCGATGGCTCAGTGCTATAGGAGAAGGAGAGTTGTAGTTTTATAAAGTGTTTTACATCATCTGCCAAAAAGAACTGGAACCTCAGCAAACTACAACTCCCAGAATCACATGGCAACTAATGTTCTGTCAAACTGTCCACAGAGAGGTACTTCTGCACTGTAGAATGGATGCAGTTTGATATCACTTTAACTGCCATCACTCAATGCTATAGAATCCTGGGAGATGTAGTCTTAGGCTGGATCTACCCAGGCATATGATGCAGTTTGAGCTATATGGTCACTGTAGACCCCAGTGTAGATCCAGCCTTACAATCAACAACAACAATTTATTTGTCTTGGTTTTGAGGCCTGTTCCTGGGGTTATTTGGGGCGCTGAGTCAGAAATTTTCATTGGAGACCACATTAGCTCTAGTTTCTAAAACTCCACCTACACTCCCATACAATCCAGTTTCAGAATGCAGACTGGCTGCATTGAAGTGGATTATACAGCACTGTAGACTCATATATCCAGTTCAATCTGCATTGTGTGAGGCCCCTTCTAGGCCCCTTCCACGCAGCTGAATAAAACCCATTATCTGCTTTGAACTGGAATATATGGCAGTGTGGACTCTGATAACCCAGTTCAGCCGAGAGGGGGGGAACTGGACTCCGTTTTTGGAAACAGAGGGTCAAATAAACCCAGAAACAGGGCTAACCTTAGGGCCCTTCCACACAGCCCTATATTGTTGTAGGTTTTTCGGGCTATATGGCAAGCATGTTCGAGAAGCATTCTCTCCTGACCTTTCGCCTGCATCTGTGGCAAGCATCATCAGAGGTGAGGTTGGAAGTTTGGGGTTCAGAATACTCTTTGTAGAACTCAATCCCAGCAACTACAACTCCCAAATGTCAAGGTCCCCAATGTCAAGGTAAACACCTCAAAACCTCTGAGGATGCTTGCCACAGATGCCGTCGAAACGTCAGGAGAGAATGCTTCTGGAACCTGGCCATACAGTCCGAAAAACCTACAACAACTCGGTGATTCCGGCCATGAAAGCCTTCGGCAATACATTCCTACAAGATCTGCTTTGAACTTGTGTCCACACTCAGATCATGTGGGATTTCCTGCCTTGATATTCTGGGATATAATAGAGTTGTGTGGAAGGGCCCTTAGGAGCATCCCGTAGCCTTGAGCCAATGGCAATTAAAGTGCCTGGACTGGACAGTTGTAAGTGAAGAGAAGAGAGCAAAGCAAAGGGCCTTCTTTCTGGGACGGAAAACTGCTGCTGCTGCTGCTGCTGCTGCTGCTACTGGCGTGGCCGGTTTCGCGTTGAAACCCAAACCACCCCCATGTCTGCATTTGAGAGGGGAGGGAGACGCGTGTCCGAGTGGGGGGGGGAGAGGGTGGGCGTTCAGTCCCCTCCGCCCTGGCCCTGCTCCCCCCGGCGGCGCCCCTCCTCCAGGAGCCTGGCCACGGCGTGCCTCTTGTAGAGCCGGGCCACGTCGTAGGCGGTGTCTCCGCGGTGGTTGCGGTGGCCGAGGCGGGCGGCGGCGGTGCGCTCGAGCAGGAAGGCCACGGCGGGCAGGTGCCCCTCCTGGGCGGCCAGGTGCAGCGGCAGGTTGCCCCCGCCGTCCTCCGCGTTGACGTCGGCCCGGAACTCCAGCAAAGTCTGCAGCGTGTCCAGGAAGCCCGCGCGCGCCGCGTCGTGCAGCACCGAGAAGCCCGCCGAGTCGCGCAGGTCCGGGTCCGCGCCGCGGAGGAGCAGCTGGCGAGCGATCTCCGGGTTGCCCAGCTTCATCACCTGCCATTCCGGGGAAGGGGGGGGGGCGTGGGAAAGACAGGGGACACGCAGAAAGAAGACACCCGCCATCAGATGGGGACACACCTTACGCGCGCGCACACGCAACCTTCCAGTTCAGAACTTTGCAAACTCAAATGTTAGCTCTCTTTCTCGGTATCTTTGATTGCTGATTCCTAAAATGGGATCAGTTTCCCCCCATCGGAGTGTTTCTCAACTTTCCTAATGCCGTGACCCCTCAATACAACTCTTCATGTTGTGGTGACTCCCAACTGTAAAATTATTTTCGTTGCTACTTCATAATTGTAATTTTGCTACTGTTATGAATCGTCATGTAAATATCTGATATGTAGGATGTATTTTCATTCACTGGACCAAATCGGGTACAAATATACGATAGGTCCAAATTTAAATACTGGTGGAGTTGATTTTGTCATTTGGGAGTTGTAGTTTTGTTGTGTGTGTGTGTGTCAGGAGTGACTTCAGAAACTGCAAGTAGTTTCTGGTATGAGAGAATTGGCAGTCTGCAAGGATGTTGCCCAGGGTGTTTTGGTGTTTTACCATCCTTGTGAGAGGCTTCTTTCATGACCCTGCATGGGGAGCTGGAGCTGACAGAGGGCGCTCATCCTCGCTCTCCCCGGATTCAAACCTCCGACCTGTCAGTCTTCAGTCCTGCCGGCATAAAGGTTTAACCCATTGCGCCACGGGGGCGCCTGGATTTATAGGTAACCTACAATCAAAGAGCACAATGGATCTGCACCAAATTTGGCACACAGAACTCCCATGACCAACAGAAAATACTGGAAGGGTTTGGTGGGCATTGACCTTAAGTTTTAGAGTTGTAGTTCACCTCCATCTACAGTGGACTCAAACAATGATAGATCTGGACCAAACTTGGCACAAATACTCAATATGCCCAAATGTGAACACTGGTGGAGTTTGGAGAAAATAGACCTTGACATTTGGGAGTTGTAGTTGCTGGGATTTAGAGTTCTACAAATAGCATTCTGAACCCCACCAACACTGGCCCAAACTTCCCACTTAGAACCCCCATGACCAACAGAAAATATTGTGTTTTCTAACGGTTTTTGGGGATCTCACTGACACCCCTCATGACCCCCGGGGTTGGAAAACATTGCCCTATCAAATGTAGCTCCTGAGATACAGAAAAAATGCCATGTATTATTCTTAACTCTGCTCACAAATAGAAAATGTTCAGCGACAGGAGTGCAAAAAGGCATTGAATATGAACAGGGGACTTTCTGGGACATATCTGGGTGAGGGAAAATAAAGCCCAAGGCTCTCAGAATTACACTGCAGGCATCAAGGGACTTGTAGAGTTGTAGAGAGGCCCCCTCACCACTTTGGCAAATGCCACATACATTTCTTGGTAAGCTTCTGCTCAGCATGCCCTGCAAAATTTGACCTTTTGGGGAGCAAGCTAAGAAAGCCCACTCAAGGAGTTTAGAAGGTGAAGAGTAAAGTGTGCTTATGTATCTGGAGGAAGAGATATACCCCGGAAAACATAACAAAAGTGGGGTTTTGTCTATCAGCCCAAACACATAGGATAGCATTGTTTCAAAAATGGAAAAGGAAAAAAACCTACAACAACCCAGGAAAAGGAATAGTTAGGAAAGAAAGGGCCTAAATAAACAACTCTTATTTTTCTTAGCCAAATCCAAATAGAAGGCCTGCCGAAAAGCACCTGTTTGACAAGGAGGGAGAAAATAGCTCATGGCCCTTCCTTCCAGACAGCCATATAACCCAGAATATCAAGACAGAAAATCTCACATTATCGGATTTGAACTGGAATATAGTGTGGACTCAGATAACCCAGTTCAAAGCAGTTATTGTGGGATTTTCTGCCTTGATATTTTGGGTTATATGGCTGTGTGGAAAGGCCCTCAGAGGCAACCTGAGTGAAAAGGTGCCTGAATAAGAGAAGCCAGCATTTGCTTCCACTCTCTTTGGTGTAATATAAAAAAATATTAATATTGGAGGAGGTGTTGACTACCAACTTTCTCTAGTTTGGTCATCCACCCACTACATCTCAGCACACGCAGATCAAAAATAAACAGCCTCTGCGGTTGGGTTTAGTATTTTTTTATATATACTAGGATATGCATGTCTCAAATACCACACATGTTCATGCCTCAAATTTTAGCCCTGCTTCTGGGTATATTTGACCTGCTGATTCCCCAAAATGGCACCAGTTTTCCCCTATCAGATCTAGTTCCTGAGATATAAAACAAATGCCATATACCACTGTTAACTCTGCTCATAAATAGAAAATTTTGATAACCATATCTAAAAAAAACCCCAACCCAGACACAAGTTTTTTTCCCCCTTTTGGTTGGGCTGTGTAAACATTTATAATCTGGCTGGTGGAGAAAAGCTATACCTGGCTAAGGGAGCTTCCTCTTGCAACTTGGCCTTGAAAATAGCCTCAGGCCCCTTCCTTTTCCCCCTCAGGAGCCTGAGGCCAGGAATGGTGGGAGCTGAAATCCAAAACACCTGGAGGGGCCAAGTTTACCCATGCTTGGTGTAGACCCATATAATAAAATTCACACTGCATTACTTGGCAGTGTAGAACCAGCCTATCTTTCTCTCCCTCTCCTTTAGGTCAGTAGCCTGAAACACAGCTTCCTAAACTGTGGGTCCCAACCACAACTTGATTGTCTATGGGAGTGTGCCACAAAGCAGGCAATGTAGGCCTACCAGGCCAGCCTCCTTCAGGGCCCAAGTAAGGAGCCTCATAACTAACTAGCACAGGGCCTCATTTGTCCTGAATCCAGCACTTAAAGTGTGTCTGCTTAGGTGTGTAAGGTGTGTCATGTGAAAGTAGCAAGGAACATCTATATATATGTGATATAAGCAACTACAAGGTAGCCTGAGCCTTGCCACATGCACAATGGAGTTACTTCTCACACTGACAACAGAAGCACTCCAAGTGGGAAGCTTCTGGTCAAAGGAAATTTAGTACAATGCCAAGTTTTTAACTTTGGGCCCTTCCACACAGTCATATAACCCAGAATATGAAGGCAAGAAATCCCACAATATATGCTTTGAACTGGGTTATCTCAGTCCACACTATCCCACACAATATTCCAACTCAAAGCAGATATTGTGAGATTTCCTGTCTTGATATTCTGGGTTATATGGTTGTGTGGAAGGGCTCAATGTTTGTGGTTTTAAATGCATTATAACTGTATTCTCAATTCCCTTTGGACACAATATATAAATGAAATAAACATGTGTAGCTTCTAAGGGGTTGGTTTAACTTCTGGTTTGCTAGGGAAGCTGAATTAATATGTTGCAAAATAATGCATGTCTGCAAAGTGTCACCAAAAGTGAAGTGTCTGGAAAGCTCTGCTCTAGGTTGTTAAAACGGGTTCAATCACATTTTCATGCTCCCAAGCAAATCCCTTTCAGGGCCCTTTCACACAGCCATTTAATCCAGAATGTCAAGGCAGAAAATTATCAGAGTCCACACTACAATATATTTCAGTTCAAAGAAGAAAATGTGGGATTTTATTTAGCTGTGTGGAAGGGGGCTCAGTCACAACCTGGAAAAGAAAGAAAAGGAAGGAATGAAGGAAAGAAGGAAAGAAAGACAAGGAGTACTAAGAAGGGAGGAGGAAAGAATAAAGGAAGGAAAAATAAAGGAAGGGAAAGAAAGATAAAATGGAAAGAATGAGTTGTGACTTGGATTTTTTTTTATCATCATCATCATCATCATCATCATCATCATCATCATCATTCATTGGCCAACACATACTTTGGTGCCTCCCATGTTAGCCCTGTTTCTGCTGATTCCAAAACTCAGTTTTCCCTCATTGGCTTTTGTTTTTGAGATACAGAACATATGCCATCTACCACTCTGGATATAGAACATATGCCATGTATCAGTCACCATCTGCTCACCTGTAGAAAACCATGATAATCAACTAGAGCTGATGGGGTCTATCCATCAACATCCCAAATAACTCCAGGGACAGGCCTAAAAACCAAGACACCAAGAAAAACTTTTTCCTTGCTGTTGGGCTAAGTTGTTGTTGTTGTTGTTCATTGTTCAGTAGTCTCCGACTCTTCCTGACCTCATCGACCAGCCCACGCCAGAGCTCCCTGTCGGAGGTCACCACCCTCAGCTCCTTCAAGGTCAGTCCTTGTTGTTGTTACTACTACTATTTTTATGAGTTCCAGGTTTCCTGCAACTTCAAGGAGAGGCTGGGGTGTTCTGTGAGGATTCACACACACTGTAGACTTAAGGCAGTTTCTCATTCTGTTTCCATCAAATGCTCCACAAAAATAGTCACAGATCTTGAAACCAAGGAAGATGCTTAGGGAGCCTTGATGTCCCCTCTTAGCCTTCACTTCTTCCAGGCTAAACATACCTAGGCTTCCTAAGGGATATATATATAGGGATATATATATATATAGGGGGATGTGTGTGTGTGTGTGTATGTGTGTGTGTGTGTGTGTATATATATATATATATATATATATGCGAGTTCCCTGCTATGTGTTGCTGTGGCCCAGTCTGTGTATATGTGTTTTGTGTGTGTATGTATGTGCATATTTGTATATATGTGGTTTTGTCCATGCATTGTAATGTAATATTTTTGTTTCTTTTTAAGTCTCTTCTGCTGTGTTTTTCTGTTTTTATGAGTGATGGTCACTCCTGGCCTGATGGGTGTATTGTGTCCACATTTGGTGTCAATTCGTCCAGTGGTTTTTGAGTTATGTTAATCCCACAAACGAACTAGGGAGCCTAGGTGTATATGTACTTGTATGTGTGTGTATGTGTGTATCTCTGAAAGAAGGTCACACTGAGGAGGGGGCAAGCTTGTTTTCTGCTGCTATGGGGGCCAGGATAGGGAGCAATACATTCAAATAACAGGAAGAAAAGACTCAAACTCAACATTAAGAGTAACTTCCTCATGGTAAGAGCAGTTTAATGAAATATGCTGCCTCGGTGGGTGGTGGAGTCACCTTCTCCTGCC